AAAAGTGGGCGATATGTGCCTCGGGAAGGGTAATTCTCCGCGCAGGGTTAGCTGTGTTGGGACGTGTTCATGTCTTCTAACGCTGACGACTTCTGACGTCAGTCAAGCCGTGTCAGAACATGTCATGCTGTCTGGGTGAGAGGATACAGACGAGCAGATACGATGTGGTCTGATCTCACAAGAGAGTGACCCCTTCCGAGTCACATAGTGCCGAGAAGCGTTGAGGCTCATACCCATTGCGCCTTCCTCATTACCGTTCTCCCTCTCCTTACCGTTTAGAGGGATAGGTGCACCAATGAGGAATACGTAGTGGTTGTGAGGCTCCGCCCATTTGGTCATTGCAGAATGTATCTGTAGGGGACTAGAAGTCTTCACTCATCTGTGAAGTTTCTACGAGTTACTATAGCATATTGGCTCAGTACGGGTGCTCTAATCAGCCCAGCTTCATTGCGAAAGAGTTGAGTCAAAAGGAGTTCCAGGCTCCAATGGCTAACACACTCATAGAGTGGTACCGGATGATTTGGCAGCTGAAAATCGCCATTATCGTCTGTTTGGTCGATCCAGAAAACACGGCCGTTTGTGAGCGCTACTTTAAAACCACCGAGGGATCCACGCTAAAGGTAAGCTTATCGGAGTTATTGTAGGAGCTCCCAAAAAGGAGATAGCGTCCGGGAATGGTAGGTTATAACCGCAGCTATGCTAGCTCGCTTAACCGCTTATATAATCTCTAAGGAAGTACATAGTATGTATCCCTTTAAGGGTGTGGGCCAGGAAATCGGAGTTGTAGCGGCCAGGCGAAAGAACGTCACAGTTTGCGTCAGGCGAGTGGCACATACAGTACAAGCTGCAGCAAAAATGGATCATCACACTCCAGAAGACCCACCCATTCCCATAAATTGCGCTTAGTAACTTGAGCTGAGTAATAAGTATTTAATAGGACATTTCTGACAGTACCGTATCACAAGGCCTAGCAGCATATTGTATGAGGGTCTGAATGCTCTCCTGGGGTGAACGCTCCCTCCGCAAGGAGTCCTCATTGCTGACAATGGCTTTAAGATGAACTCCGGCCAGATCTTTGCGCCCCAACAAAGTAAAAGCCGCAACACACGTTTAGCGGAAAAGAAGGCTCACAATATCTCTCACCTCCTGACCAGCACTCGGTTTCTAGACTAACCGATTTCAATGGAAGGATAACAGACAGAATCCGTTGCAACCAGTTGCTCTCTTTTTAACTTGGTTGAGAATGGCTGAAAGTTAATGATGGCCGAAGCGCCATCGTCACTCATTGTGAAGCCGCAAAGTGGAGCAGTCGTTGCGACTGGGCATCGGGCTACTTGGACAAGGAAGGAATCCTACGAGCTGGTGGAGCGTCGAGTTTCTTTTTAATCAGATCAGGCCATTGACCGTGAGAGCCGCCTACTCAATTCTCGGGGAGGGTGAGGAAGGAGGGTGGGGAGGGGTTTCTGAGTCTCCCTCTAGCGAGGAATGCGCCGTTGAGGGCTATCGTCTTCTATAATCCAGTGGCATCATCTAGACCTGAACAGAACTTGTCAGTATCAAAATCGGTACGACCCGCTCGCCTTGCGTATTGTCAAGAACCTTTCCGTCGTGTCTGTCCTCACAGCCATGATCCGATCATGATCCTTTTGATAGGGAAACCCCGAGCTTCCAGTAATTCCTTCACCATTCTGGTGGCACCGTTCCATCTGGTGTCTCCCTCATCACAGATGAGTGTGACTCCTTCTGAATATTTCCGAGTCTTCACCAAGGCGTTTTCTGGGGCGCTGGACACTTGGACCATCCTACATTACAACAGGACAACCACCTCTCGAAATTCCCCGGTTAGCGATCCCCGCTCAGAAATCCTGTTCAAACCAGCTTCTTTGGAATCGGTCTTCCCCTAGCTCGTATTCAGGCGACAGTTCTCCGCGCTACTTTGAGTGACGTCTTAGCATTATTACTGATATTTCTGAGATTATAATCTTCTTGCGACAGGATTGTTCGTCAGATGGACTGGTGCTTTTGGCCTGACGCCATTGTAAGGGCCCAAATAAACCCATAACGGAATTTCAGATTAAAAACCGTTTCCAAATACGCACCGTATCGGTAAGAGAAGAAGATGGCGGAATACTGAACTATGAGTTACGATTATCGAACAAACTGTCGACGGAGAAGCACCGTAACCCTTTACGTAATAGCGATGCCGACGAAGGTGAGGCAGCATTGTCGCATCCACGGAGTGCTACTGCAGTCCATTTCTAGAACTCATCCTTTCTGTCTTCCAGCTAGACGATCCTGTAGAACCTCGAAGACAGCTTAAACTCGTCGCCGAAGTCTGGGCCACAGAGCTGGTTAGTCCTTGCTCACAGCTGATGAGCGCTTTCTTCTTTTCAATGAGATCTGTTGAGTGAAACTTGCGAAACTGGTTTCATGTTGTAAAATTGGCCTAGGGCTTGGAAGCCCGAGGACAATGAGAAGACAAGCTGTGACTGTACCCACTCCCAATCAGACGATGATTGGCCGCCCTGTGTGGGAATGTGTGGAATAGCCACCGATCAGGTGATAAGGATGGGTTGTCCGTAAGTATTCGCCAAGAGGGTTGCTACCATAACCTGCTTTAAGAAGTTAGACAGCAGTTGACACCGTGAAATAGTGGGCGGGATGGATACAACCATCGAATATACGCTGGAAGAACTCTCGTGCTCCTATTGGTGGACAGTCGCAGAAATGCCGCCCATTGACTTCTCTCGAACCAACGCCAGCACTTTCTAGAAGGTCTTAACAACGTATTATTTCGGAAATCCTCTAATATTTCAGGCAGCAACGTGCCTTGCCGACGATGTAGAACCTCCACCCGTACTTGTTCATGGATGTAATGGAGTCAGTCGAACAAGCGCTTTCGTTGCAACCAGCATGTTGTGCAAATCGGTAAAGACTCATGAAAACGAGCTAGCGGCTGTGGCGTTGTTCGGTTAAGAAGGGGGTTTTGCACTTCGCCAGTTCATGTTAGTAAGCAGGTCTCCTTGTGTGAAATTGTATAAGTCCTGTGAGGCCCCGACAGTACGTGCGAATGGGCCACTCTTCAGTCACGGATTCACCTTGCTGTACAAGCTTGTACAAGCTCAGCTGACTACTATTCGTTGCCCCCACCAAGAACTGCGCCGCAGCAGATCCTTAGACTTTCAACTTTCAAAGCAACTTAAAGGCAGTTGGACGATAAATCCCTAAGATGAGTTGGATTAATATGCCTGGCTGGACGGAATCCCACGCCTCTGGGGCAGGCGCTGCGTAGCGCCTTTTTTAAAGAGGGTATCCTCTTAAGGCCCTATCAAGCTGCAACATACCGACCCGGACACCCACTGCGCCCACGCCGCGCCTACAAATGGACGACGGTGCTCGTGTCGCTTCATCTGCGAAGTACAATATGAAGCGGCCGCGTTGCTGCATGGATATATGGGTACGTACATGCAGCCGTATCTACCGTATCGGTTATTGGCACGATGCCTATAGTAAACTCGTCCGAATTTACTTTCCAGTCATGAAGGACGAAGGCTTTGCTTCGCAGGTTTTCGAC